AACAGTGCAGACGCCAGGCAGCAGAGCATGCCTATGAGCAAGAACAACACAGACGTGAAGATGAGCAGGGTGGACAAGAACAAGAACAGTGCAGATGCAAAGAAGAGCAGTGCAGATGCCAGGCAGCAGCAGACGCCAGGCAGCAACAGACACCAGGTGTCACGGAGTGACAATACAGGCCCTAAGGACTGTACACGTGACCCCTGGCAACATCCGTGGTAAAGCCGTTAAGCGAGTTTCCTGTATTTGAAGAACCGTAGCTGCCCTGTTACGTAGCTCTTTAGAGCTACGTCTTGTAATCTATCCTGTTACTACTATTCTAAGCCCCGCTTGGTCTGGCTGCAACTCCGCCCCCTGACACCAGGCAGCAGCAGATGCCAGGCAGCAGAGCATACCTATGAGCAAAAACAATGCAGACTAGAAGATGAGCATCACAGACAAGATCAAGAGCAGCACAGATGTGAAGAAGAGCAGCGTAGATGTGAAGGTGCAGAGCAGGCGCAAGAGAATGTGGAAGTCAGTACTTATAAGACAACCTTACTCAAGTTTTTGGATGCGTGTCATATCTCACCTCCACTCGAGTCTCAGCATCCAGACCAATGTGTGAAAGGGTTGAGAGTCTTGATTGGTCTATTTGGCTATGGCGAGGATCGATCAGGACTATATAGTAGAAGGGGATAGCAGTGAAGCAAACCAAACTAACCGAATGAGCTGGACTATCAGCGCAGCGGGCCGTTGGCAAACACTGCAACGGGCCGCTGGTAGACACTGCAACGGATGGTTGGCAAACGCTGCAATGGACCGCTAGCGAACACAATGTGACCTTGTCAACACAAGGCAATCCTCCAAACGCAAAGAACAAACCCCGCCCTGAGCAGCTTTGTGCATGGACAAACTTTGCCCCAGTAGGAGGAGATATGGGATGTGCTGATTGTCACAACTCTTATTTGCAGGCCGAGCTTTGACAGGCCTTGTTAGGTCCCAGGTGGTCTCAGCAGGGCTCTGGTTGTGCCATTGGGCCTTGCCCTTGCTTAGCAAGCGCACTCCTTCCGTTCTGTCGCAAAAGGTGATGTAAGGGACACAACCAGGTGGGTGCAACACTTGGATGGCCCAAATTGCCTGTTGAAGTTGTTCTTCAAGCAAAGCTTGTAGACACTATTCTGTTGATTCTCAGGAATGAACATGGTAATAGGATTCCAATAGGGGTTGGTCACAATGAGGAGTACAGATATGATCTGCCTGTCTCAAAAGCAGGGGTGACAATAAGTAGTACAGAATAGACTGTCTAGCTTGAAGGTTGGATGAGATCCAAAGACAAACTTGATTGACTAGGTTGAACATGATGCCATAAGGGCAGTGTTGTAACGGGCTACGCCCGGTTAGCGCCTCGGCTAGCGCAAGCCTCAGAGCTTGGTACAGCTGGGTGCCAACACACAGCCAGCAAACCTTATCAAATTCATCTGATCTCATCCGGCATCTACCCTCAGGGTCAGCCTGTGAGGGGGGGCCAGCTGGGGATACCAACTGCTCTCTGAGATGGAAGGATTGGTGGAAGGATGGTTCAGGCTTGTTGGAGATAAGGGTATAGAAGAGACCAAGTGTGGGGATACCACAATTGGTAAAAAGGATAAGTGATAAAGAAGGGATCAAGTGTGGGGATACCACAAAGGATCAGTGAGGAGTGAGCTGAGGAATGAATTGAAAGGTGAATTGAATTGAGTTGCAAGCATGAGTGAGAACTATCTAGAGGTGGGAAGAAAGGGGTTCATATACCTAGATGGGTGGCAAGCTGACAAATGGGAGTTGACAAATGGGAGCTGACAAATGGGAGCTGACAAATGGGTGCTGACAAATGGGTGCTGACAAATGGGTGCTGACAAGTATAAAGACTGGTAGGGTTGTTGTTGGCTGCAAGCCATGTCAGGATGACAAGAAGCCACCACCATTTGAAGGAGAGTCTTCTGGTCATTCTATGACACAGGAGTAGTACACCAAACACATCCTCCCTGACTACATCGCTATGATTCATTGCTGTCGATGCTTACCTTGGAGCAAAGGAGAGCATCCCTGGATGCTACAAGAGGATGGGGATTCATCTCATGGGAAGAAGTTGTTGAAGTCGTACTTTAAGCAAAGCTCGTAAGTACTATTCAATTGGTTCTCGAGGATGAGCTCTGGTTCTGGATCAGTAGGGGTAAGTTGCCTGGGTGAAACACCTAACGATGGCTTGGGGTAACGATGAGTAGTACAGGCAATCTGTCTAGCTCGAAGGTTGGTTGAGATCCAATGACAAACTTAATTGACAAGGTTGAACACGAACCATAAGGGTTGTGTTCCTACACATATATATACAGTCCACCAGATCTGCTCGTTGACAAGCAGAGTCGGTCCTGGCCAATCCGGATGGATTGCGGTTCGTCAACAAGCATTGTACCATGTTTGTTGACGAGCATCACGTCATGCTCGTTGACAAGCACTCACGTGACATTGCTCGTTGACGAGCTTCGTCACGTGTGTCAGCTTGGCTGAGAGTAATCCCCTAGGCGCCGGCCGGGCGGCCTTGCCTTGCTGCACCTTCCCCCAGGCCTCCGTGTTTGGTTGGCGGTTACTTATTGCTTGTTGTCCTATCGTGGGACGTGGGATCGTAACAGAAGTCTTCCAATAACATTGCGCAAAACTTAAGAGACGCCAACTGGATCTTCACAATCCTTCACCCTGCACAGTCTCCTGATCTGAATCCAATTGAGGCATGCTGGGCTATTCTTAAACAGCGTGTTAAGAGGAGAATGTGGCGTCCAACTGGGTACACAACACCATGGAATGGTACAAAGACTCACCTCAAAAGGATACTTCAAGAAGAGTGGAATAAGATTACTATAGAAGAAGTAAGAAAGCGCATTGTTGAGATGCCATGGAGGTGTACACAGCTCTGTACAAATAGGGGTGAGAAGATGCGCAGTAAGGTGTGGTGAACAGTACAACACTACAAAATAACTGTAGATAAGCCCTATCACTTATTTGAATAGCCTCAATCCAAGAATCACGTCAACATATGCCTATATGTAGCCTGTAACCTCACAGTTCATCATTTTGTATGGGTGTTGTATGGGAGGATGGAATGGTGGGGTAGGCTAGCGCATTCGACACGAATTATTGCACCCCCTATTGACGGTCCCCTCTTCGTGCCATGTTCCACACTGCGCAGCCATCATAGACCGCGCGACCAGATGGTTCAGTGATCTTGCCTGAAAGAAAAAAATTAGCTGAACATCGTTATGTTGCGTCAGTAATAGAACACCATCGCACGTGCCACAACCACTTGTTCTTGAGTTCGACCAACTCCCATTCGACTCTGCTGGCAATGTCGCTCGCGTCGAATCGAACACTCCACAGCTGGATCAAGCAAAACAAAGGCGCCGAGGAGTTGCCTCCCGACCCATATGAACATGGTCTGCTTGGCTTCCCAGGCGTCGAAGCAGAGCATCCCAAGGTCTATCTTCAACGCCTATGGCTGCCGGCGGAAAACGACCGCACAGCCTAAATAGTACAGAAACCAAAGGATCCCATTGGTGTATGTCATATGTAACCCAACACCTCTCCAGACTTCCCTTGCCAGTAGCCTCCACCACGACATTGTCGTGCCAGAATAGCAGCCACAATTTGTAACTGTTCGTTGTCATGATGTTGTGGAAGGAAAAAAGTCCGATATTTTGTTCCACAATTGTTTTTTCCGCTGCAATGCATCTCGTAGAGCATTGCGCGTATGCTATCAGGGCTTCCTGACCGGTGAGTATTCAACGGCAGGTGTAGGAACCACTGCTGACTGGAGGTTTCGCCCGAGTCATTGCTTTATGCAGATTCAGTGTTGCAAAGGCGGAGACTAAGGAATCGTCCCGTGGTCTACGTCGAGTTGGATTATCCCCAATTTGTCGCTTGTGATACAAAGAGTCGCGCTGGTGTAAGCCAAGGTCTCGTTGGGTCTCGAAAGAATGACCGCAGGTGCGACGATGAGATTATGCCTGGTGAAGGCCAACAAATTGGGGAAATTGACGCCGTCAACGACACTGAGCCCAGCTTTGTGGCTGTGGATTGCGGAACAGACCCTAGTTTTTCCCCTGGTGAATTTTCGAAAACCGCATATGCTTATCAAGCGCCTTCTCTGCCGTAAAGCTTTGGTCGCAGAAACATTGGATCTTCATCGTAGACTCCACAGACGAGCTGGGACGCTCCTCCACCGATGGCATGTCTAATTTTGACCAGCGGAGTACGCGTTCGATGGAGGTACATAACCTGGAGTGCAAGAAATTTGCTTAATGTTGTATCTGACCACTGACTGCCTGCTCTGGCGATGTCGCTGGAGTTGGAACTGTAATGCAAACCGTAGTAACCTCTCCATTAATGCTCGGAGGTGCGGGTATGATGTCCGCTCTCCGGATGGGTCCAGCGGGGCTGTATTTGTTGCACGGGGGTCATGAAACTCGAGTGGGCCGTCTCTTCCTGCTGTGCTTGAGCCCGATAATATTACTCGTACCTCTAATGCAGATAGTACAGAATCGGCTTCAGCTCCCTGCGCGCAAGAACAATCCACCAGCAAAAGTCCCCCGCCCCATCGCCTTTAGTCACCGAACCTTCTGTATGCCAGAAACGGCACCGTTTAAGGATAGATCCCCGGTCGAGATCAATGATAAAGTGAGGGTAACGCGCTCGGGCCGAAGCGAGGACTTATTCCTTTGCGCACATCTGATGGAGGACTACACATATCGGTCTCTAGCGTCATGCGATGTACCTAGCTTGATGATCAAACGGTATTGATCTACCATGCTACGCTGGTATGGCATAAGCGAATAAGCATAAGGCAGACGGTCGTGGTGGTGTATCAGCACGGGCTCTAGGGAGCTACCGTGCACAAGGGTATGCTGCACGCTAGCCTGTTCTGCACGCGAGGCACCCCAACCAGCCACATGAAACTAAACAAATCAGGGTGTGACCTGTTGCACTAAGCTAAGATGTATAGGATTGCCTTCGTCAGCAAGTACCAAGTTGAATAGCATCAGCACTAGCACGAAAGCAGTTATAGGAGTTGATACCGCGCGCATAACAAACCAGCCGCAACATGCCTCCTGTATCAATTGCAGGGCTGAATACCGGCTTGGCGCAAGTACTCCAGTGAATGTGTCATGCGACGTCGATCGACACCCAAGCACACCAAGAGAATTAGGAGCGGTCATACCATCTCATTTAGTACAGCCCGCTGTCTCTGACCGTTTGTACTAACACACACCACTTTGGGATAATGGAACGGTGGCAATTACTTTGAATACGTTTCTCAGATCTAAAGTAGTAACTTCTTAGCAGTGACCAAGCAAGACGTACGACAGAAGATGCCCAGCCGCAGGCATAACAGCAACTATATAAGATTGA